ATGACACTCCCCCATCCAACCTGATGGAGCTTGAGAGGTACTGCAAAGAAGATTAGGAGAAATTGCCCAAACGTAGGTGTACCAAGCTTGTAGCATTGTGCTCAGAATGACTTGAGGCTGTAATTGGTGCTAAAGGTGCTTCAACAAAGTATGGAGCAAAGGCATGTACATGTGGTTCTTTTTTTTTTTTTTTTTTTTTTTTTTTTTTTTTTTAATAAGTTGCAAAGATTTTTAAACAAACTTCTTTCACGTTGTAATTATGGGGTATTGTTTGTAGAATGTTGAGGAAAATAATGAAAGTAATCTATTTTGGAATAAGGTTGTAACATAACAAAATGTGGCAAAAGTAAGCGCTGTGAATACTTTCTGGATGCACTGTATACTATGGAAATGAGTGTGTACTGTAAGTTGCCTCCAGCATTGTTCCTGTTTCTTCTTGCTGGAGGCTGCCATTTTACTGAAGCCCAGAGTCCCCGAGTAGCAATAAATCTTTAGGTTATCAGCAGATTGGCCTCTACATTTTAGCAGCTGTGCATGTGCAGAGCAGGGTGAGACCGCGTGTATTACTGGATTGTAAACAATACAGGCACTTATTTTTAATGTTTTACTTAGCTATACCTGCAAAAGGGGCCAGCCTGAAGTGATCTAGCTGGACTTCATTTTCTGACTTAAGTTCCATGCCTGCTTGTACCCCATACCATACATATTTGAAAACATTTGGCGCATCTTGAAATGAAAATGGGACAACACTCCCCTCCGAAAACTCCAGAAACTGGTTTCCTCAGTTCCCATATCTTTAGAGAGTGTTATAAGAAGAGGGGGTGCTCCAACGTGGTAAACATGGCCCTATTCCAACTTTTATCAGACATGTTGCTGCCATCCGTTTCAAAATTACCTTTTTTCTCAGTTTAAAAATTTGATATATTTTCTATTGTAAATAAAATATGGGAGTGTGGGATTTGCAGATTATTGTATTCGGTTTTTATGTAGATTTTGCACAGCATCCCAACTTTTTTTGGAATTGGAGTTCTATATATTATAGCGGCTTAGTTCCAGCAATAAGACTATCTAGCTTAATCCGTTATTGGCTATTGATATTCGGCCTACTTTGACCTGAAAGGCAAGGCTGTCTTCTGCAGCTTTCTAGCCATTGCGGTCTGCATGGTCTGAGCCAAAAGTAGACCCTCTTTAATGCAGTGACAATGGGAAAGACAAATAGTATTTTTTGCTGCTGGAGTTATACACTGCAGCACATGGAATTCTGCAGCTTACATTTGAACAAATAAGCCAAGTAGACCTAATACAACGTTATGAAAATTTACTGCAGATTGCCTTCAATTAAATGCTCTTTTAATTGCTACTAAATTATTTCCTTCTGTCGTGAGTTCCTGATGGTTGTGCTCCATGTATTACGTGACATTCTGTCCTGTCCTCTTAATGGAATCTACTTAGTCTGCTCCCTTGGTGTGTTCCCTAGTGTGTTTTCTGGGAATGTACACATTGACAGGCTCCATGCGTGGTTGCAGTTTGCAGCTTGCATTTAATGCTTTAGTTACTTTAGTGTAGAACCTTATCTCTGTTGCTCCAGAACTACAGAACTCAGCACACCTTTGCAGTTATTTGTGCCTCATTCTTTACTAACAGATGTGTGTTGGTTCAGGCTACAAAATGGCTGTACCAACCGTTTCATCTTTTTAACTGAATCAGAAAGGCAATGATTGGACAGAATAACACAGTTTCAATGGTTAACAGCTGGTCTAATGCAGGTATGGTCCCTGGAATCGTTTTTTTTTTTTTTTTTTTCCTCAAACATTCTTTGTCCTACCGATAAAAGCAGTTGGATCCAGAAATGCAATCTTTTTAGTAGAAAAACCAAATGTATGCATGTTTGGCAAATAATAAAACACATCAGAACACAAGTGAAAATTCAGATTGAAGATGAAATGATTGATACAAAATTGGTGTGTGGTCAGACTAAAAGTTGCCATCTAAGTAAGACTGCAATCTGACCCCTCAACATTTCTCTGTTCACCCAAACTGTAACTCCAATCGTAAGACATATGCCCATGAAGCAGTATTGGGGATCTCTCTCCATAAAGTTTAAGAAAGAAAACGGAATAAGAAAAACTAAGAGAAAACTATCTGCTTCTTTTTTATGTGAAGGATAATTGACAGAATAAAATTTAGATAGCACCATTTATTTAATAGAAGAATTGCCTCAAAGGGTGTGGACATCCCTATAGTAACCAACTGTGTTGTCTATTTCATACTCCATTTTCAGTAAGGTTAAGCTGGGTACGCATTATAAGAAAATCGGAAGAAAAATTCCATACAAGGAATCTTTCATTCTTTGTAAAGCGTGTACACAACTTTTGACGTCCGATCCAGACTTTCCAAACAAAAATTTCTGAAGAGACAAACTCCAAAATTTTTCTCGTATGTGAACAGAACTAACAATTTTTGTTTAATGTGTACTGTTTTTACAATAAAATCGGATACGAAAGACCGCACATGATCAGAAACGATAATCTTTTGTACAGTTGGTACCATCCTCGGGTTCGACTTGCTGTGAACCATTGAAGAAAACCGAAAATAAAAATACAGTGTAGCGCTTCCTCAAAATGAATTTGAACCCAAATATCTAAAAAAAAAAAAAAAAAATATAAAATTAAGTTCTGTGGTGAAAATTAATCCATACGGGTGAACATGCATCAGTTGAAACATCAAAGTCTCGAAATATTGATTTCTTCAAGTTGAATAAATCTTAAAACAATTCATATCTTCATATATCTAAATCCTCCATCATGGATCACCAGATGTGCCCTCACCTGGAGTATTTGACCTCACGTTATGTTCGGTCAAAAAAACGCATGTTTCCCTTGAATTGGACATGAACTGGCAAGTATATCCTGGGTTTAGACTCTTCCTCCAGAGATCAACACTCCCTTGATCTCTACTCCTCCACTCATTGCATATGATAAAAAAGATGGGAAACAAAATGGTGCTCTATTCTTAAAAACATTCCGCTTTATTAAAACATATAAGTGGCTACTCACACTCTAAAGGTGCTGCAGCACACCAGATATCTAGCGCTTTTTAAAAAACGAATGGTGCTGTGAAACAGGAATACAGAGAAAAATCCTATACTCATCTGCTCTGACCATCAATGGATCTGTGTGTAGACAGCGTCGTGACGTCATCAAGCCCCCTCCTACGCGTTGCACCACAGGGTCATGTGGCTTCCTCGGGTATATAATTGGATGCCACCACGTTCAAGAGGTATATATAGAGGCCAGCAGCCATTTTGCTGTAGTCCATATACAATTAACTGTATTCAATGGCCAGCGGCCATTTTGCTGTAGCCCATATTCAACTGTGTTCAATGGGCCGCAACAGCAGCCATTTTCTTGTGGGTAATGATTGTTAAACATATACATCGCACCTGCGGACCTGTTCTTGTTGACCCCTACAGGGACCATCAGAAATATTAACAACCCCCCCCCCATACTTAAATGAATCTACATATTATATTCCCACCACTCTACTCGCCATGTATGTCAGCCCCTGTAGGTTTTATCATTGACAAACCTGAAAAAAATGTATATGGAACAATATATAGTATCCAAACAGTGGCCATTTTCTAGTAGTCCCTATGCAAAATAACTACCTGTACTTCATGATAACCACCCACTTGCTGTATCTATTATCAAATGCACATTCCCCAGTGACCCTATCCTATAGGTCCTGTGATTCTCTATACTGCTCATATATAGACTACCTAATAATATACTTAACATTATAACCTCATGAGACAACAATATCATACAACAGGGACATAATTCAATGAACTCCAGTAGGCTAGAATGTGGACAAACGATATCTATCAGCAGAAATGGCATATATAATACCATTAATAATTACTTAAAAAACATCTGAGATTGAATTCTGCATTTAAACCATTAGGGAACAAAGATCCTAATTTATAAATCCAATGGGATTCCTTTTTGCTCAATTCCCTAATTTTATAATCCCCTCTCCTATGGGGTTTGTATACTTCTACCCCCCCAAAATTGTAATCCACTGTAATCTTTTTGATGGACTAATCTAAAGTGGTTAAACAAATAATGTTTCTTATAACCTCTGCCTATGTTATATACATGTTCCTTAACTCTATCTTTTAATGCTCTTTTAGTTCTGCCTACGTATATTTGGGTTCACATTCATTTTGAGGAAGCACTGCACTGTATTTTTATGCTTTGTATTGATGCACGTTATGAGTATGTGGCTAGTGTGAGCTGCTTTTGTCAATACCTATTATTGATATAGTATATTTATTGCTTTTGAGTTTTTTTTTATATATTGAGGAAAACTGAACGATCGCTTGCGTGATTTTCTTAGTGTGTACCCAGCTTAACTGAGGAAACTGGCAACTGTTGGGAAAAAGACTGTCACTATTGTTTTTTTCTGACACTTTGATGAAGGTTTGGTTTACCCAGAAAAATTGTTAAAGATTTCAGCTGCCCAGAATTGATATTATTGTATTCTGTGGAGCTGTATGGACTTATTCATGCACTGGCTACTTAGGTGCCTGGAGCACTAAAGCAAAAAAGAACTTTCCAGTCCATCCTCAGTCTTCCTTTACTAGGCACCATTGCCTGTCTGTTAAAAACTTGCTTAAAGCTACAACCAGCTCTACAGTTAATATCCATGTTCAACAGACTGGAGACTGGAGGATGCTGTAAGGGCGTCAAGAAAATGCTGAAAAGCTTGGAAATCATTCACATATGTCTGGTGTACTTTGTAAAGAGCTGTCCAGTCTAGTGTTACCAGACTATTACCTGTGTAAAGTGGCCTCAAAACCAGTGGTGTTAAACCAGAGGAGATTTTTGGAAGCACTTTTAAGAATGGACCACTAGCAAATCTGCAAGCATGTATGCAGGAAATTAACCATTTATATTTGCTTACTTAATGCTGAGTTATGATTGTTTTTCCTGTTGAAGGTCTTCCCAATGGGTCTGACAACATGGAGGTGGATGGGCTTCAAGGAATTCCCCTTTGTAGCTGCCGGATGGAGACCCCTAAAGAGGATGAGCTGCTGACAAAAGCTGGAGATCGATGCATGGCTGTTGAGAGCTCTGATCAAGAGGTGAGAAGTCAAGGACTTCGGAGGGTAGAGTTTTATCATTTTGTTAGTTCCATTTTTTTTCTTAAAGCCCCAAACCTAAAAGTTAAAACTATTCAAGGATAACTTAAACTTGTGCTTTTTTTCTATGCAGACAAAAGCAGAGGTTTATCTTCATTGCTTAAGCTGAACCATGTCTTCTCTATACTCCCTTTTTTTTTTTTTAACGTCATCCTGCTCCATTTGTTGGCTGAGCCAAAGAGAAAAGGTCCAGTATAAGCTTCAAGTTGGTCTGTTAGGCAGGGCTAAGATCTATTCCTTCACCCCATGTGACAGCTCTCATGCCTGACAATTGACTGCTCAGGCAACCAATTCTGTGAGGAAGGGGAAGGCTGTTCTTAGTTCTGTTTAATCTCTGACATGTGCCACATTGTTTGAATTTAATTTGTTATTTTCAGCCAGGTGGAGAGAGCAGGAATAGGGAAGCTCATCGGAAGTGCACACCCCCGCTTCAGTGTCAGTCATTCCTATTGCTGAGGGTCTGTGGTTTCATTCATTTCAGCTGTCATTTCTCACAGCTTAGAGTTTGCCAGTATGTGGCCTGGAATCACATAAAGTACATGTTTACTTTTAGGGAGCTTGTACTATACCTAAATGCCCACCCCTTCTGTGCGCAGCCTGCTATGTTAAATGTTTACCTTCCTCTCTGTTTTAGGGTTCTTCACTATGTGGCACTTCTCAGCGCCACGCAGCCTTTTAATAAAAGTGTCCCAAACAGCTCGCCTTCAAAGTGCACACTCCCGTTGCAGGCTCATTCCTATGGCTGAACCCTATTCAGCCATCCTTTTGTGTGTGCACACTGTAAGTAGTGGATGCTTTATGTAAAAAAACAAAACCTCAGCGCTCAGGACTTCCTATTTACCATACAAATCCCCGTGAGATGCTGCTGTGCACAGGTACAAAAGACCAAAAACTTTTAACAATGAAAACCAGCGCAAACCCACATGATCAATTACATTACTAGTTTAAAAAAACATTAATGTGCTAATAAAGATATATATAATAAATTATATATAAAATATATTGATATAAAAACATATATAAAAATTTAAAATTATAAGTCCAGTGACAAAAAAGCAAAGTGACAAAAAATCAAAAAAACCCCAGAAAATATATATATAAATATAATTACAGTCCCGTGACAAAATTAAATCAAATTAAATTGTAATATATTTTCCATTTGATTCTTCCGTGTTACTGATCCCTTCACCATCCACCAGTGCAGAAATCAACATTAACCGCACTCACCAGATAATGGTGAGTCACACGCCTTTCAGGATTGTTAAGGGCTCCTGGACCCCCTTTACTTTGTCTGGGACCTCCAAGTGCTCTTTCCTCTTATGTCTAGGTACCTCTTCTGCTTACTCCTCTCACCGAATCCCCCAAAGGAAAATCAGGAAGAAGAAAAGACCATAGCGTGATACCGCAGTAACTTCTCCTCAAATTAATCTCTCCAGACCACTCACATTCTTTTGCGGGATATAGCCCACTTTTTATTCAAAACAACAGCGATTCTCTTCAGAAATGGTCCACTTTTCATGTACACCGATTATACAAGGACCTCACAGTTTAGTGTGCAGCAGGATGGCAGACCTCAGCTACAGACTCTTCTATTTAGGCTAAGATGGCCCCTTGGAACGCACCGCTCGGCGTGCGCTCCACTCACCGGAAATGACGTCAGACGACGGACCAGGCAACCGGAAGTGCGTCAACGCATTCACCCCACCCACGGGGCGTTATCAAGACAAGGTCTTGATAACGCCCTGTGGGTGGGGCGAAACGCGTTGACGCACTTCCGGTTGCCTGGTCCGTCGTCTGACGTCATTTCCGGTGAGTGGAGCGCACGCCGAGCGGTGCGTTCCAAGGGGCCATCTTAGCCTAAATAGAAGAGTCTGTAGCTGAGGTCTGCCATCCTGCTGCACACTAAACTGTGAGGTCCTTGTATAATCGGTGTACATGAAAAGTGGACCATTTCTGAAGAGAATCGCTGTTGTTTTGAATAAAAAGTGGGCTATATCCCGCAAAAGAATGTGAGTGGTCTGGAGAGATTAATTTGAGGAGAAGTTACTGCGGTATCACGCTATGGTCTTTTCTTCTTCCTGATTTTCCTTTGGGGGATTCGGTGAGAGGAGTAAGCAGAAGAGGTACCTAGACATAAGAGGAAAGAGCACTTGGAGGTCCCAGACAAAGTAAAGGGGGTCCAGGAGCCCTTAACAATCCTGAAAGGCGTGTGACTCACCATTATCTGGTGAGTGCGGTTAATGTTGATTTCTGCACTGGTGGATGGTGAAGGGATCAGTAACACGGAAGAATCAAATGGAAAATATATTACAATTTAATTTGATTTAATTTTGTCACGGGACTGTACTTATATTTATATATATATCTTCTGGGGTTTTTTTGATTTTTTTGTCACTTTGCTTTTTTGTCACTGGACTTATAATTTTAAATTTTTATATATGTTTATATCAATATATTTTATATATAATTTATTATATATATCTTTATTAGCACATTAATGTTTTTTTAAACTGAGTAATGTAATTGATCATGTGGGTTTGCGCTGGTTTTCATTGTTAAAAGTGGATGCTTTATGTAGACAGCCTGTGTGGCACTAAGCAGAAACAGAAAAAAAGGTAAGTGTTTGCCATAGCAGGATGCATATAGAAGGGGTGGGCATTTAGTGCAAGTTCCCTAAAAGTAAATCTGTACTTTTAGTGGGCCCATTGCTCTGTCCTGCAAGAGCAAATCACAGGTTGACTTTAAATATCCAGGAAGATCTTCATTCTGCAGCTGATAGAATTGGCTTTACTCAACAATGATGCTGCTGTGTGCCAAGTATCACTGTCACATTGTTGAACTATAATCAATGGTTCTCAACCATAAGGCCCCAGCTTTCCCCCTCGCAGGCCATGCACTTGCGAACTCTTAGCTGTGAAAAAACACAACTGAAATGAATGAAATAAGCCACTGACCCTCCGTTCGCTGCTGTGTATTGTGTAGACACAACCTGTAACCAGTCACACTTTGAAGCCTCAGCCTATCAGCAACGTGCTGATATTGTGACAGTACATATACATGACAGTATCATGTCTTACTGATTGGCTGCGGTTTCAGGGTGTCTGGTTATACATTGTGTTTCCACATTACACTGAACTGCAGGACCGTGGCAGTTTAATTCATTTAAGCCATGGCTTAAATGAATGAAAATAGCTGCATCTAAAGATGTCCCTGAGCTCCTCTCTCCCCCACTTCTTCCCATCCAGCACTTTGGTCACAGTCTCGCCTAGTCCACAAGAGATCCTGTCCCCACTCCCCAGCCTTGTGTGCTCAGGAGTGGTGCAGATTGCTGCACTGGAACTAAGGTATGTGAACAAGGCCAGCAGGTGTCTAGGACATCCCACCTCTTCACAGATCTCTAGCACCTCTGTCTCCCTCTTAGGATGGGGGTGCTGAAGGGGTTGAATATGCTGGATGCAGCAGAACTTCCCCATCCGCAACACACTCAAAAAGCAGGTATCCAGCACATCTCCACTACTCTCACCTACAGCAGGTATCTATTTCTCCATGCACACTTCACACCCTTTTTAAAATGTGCAGCCACCTCCCCTCCCACTCCCACTATATCCCCATCAACCCTGGCTTCCTGCATATTACTCATCAGCTCAGCACATACCTCCCACTTCAGTGCATGCCTCACTGGCCACCAGGAATGACAACATGAGTGAAGGGAAGAAAGAGAAAATGACACTGCAAGAATGAGAAAAAATAAAGCTTTAAATTCTTAAATATTTTTTGTTATTATCTCTCTTTACCAGGGGAGGACTGACAACTCATGGGGCCCCCGGGCAATAGGGGATCATGGGGGTTCCCTGTGTCCTTGCCCACACTCAAAAAAGCCTATAAAAAAGGTACCAGGGGCATTTCATAGGGCCCCCTACTGACCCCGGGCCCTCAGGCAGTGCCCAAGTGCTCGAATGGTCAGTCCGCCCCTGCTCTTTACATTACAGTAGCTAATTTTTTTGAGCGATTACTCACTTTAATACATTCAAACAATATATTTTGCATTCCCATCATTTTATTGTATGAGAGTTAAGAATGAACTGTTAAAGGACCCTATTGGACTATTGCATAAGACATGTTCTCTCCAATGTATACCAAATATTCTTGATTATTTATCTTTTAAGTAAATATGGAGATTACTATTGGACATTAATACTGACTTGTTTTTAAAGATGGTAACCCTAGGTCGGTCCTAATTCTGGTTTCACTACATAGGGTGCCACTGATGTAAAACATGTTTGCAGCCGGTGAAAAAAGAAAGAGTCTGAACTTCAGCCTGTTTGCACCTTTAGGAAAATATCATCAGTGGGCACTCACCTATAATGGCCATGCACTCTTTGTTTTGTAGTTGAACCGGTGTGTGAGAGAGGTGGTGAAGCAGGAAGTAATGAGACCATCGAACAAGGTGCGACACTTGGTGTTGTGTGAAGACCACCGCGGGAAGATGGTCAAACACCAGTGTTGCCCTGGCTGTGGATATTTCTGCACTGCTGTAAGTACCTGTCCCAGCCAACTGAAACATCTATTAGTAGAGTAATCCAGTGTCAGTGAGGGCAAAAATTAAGTGTATTTTTTGATGGTGTAAGAAAGCATCTGTAGGCCCAATTTAGGACTTTCTTTGTATGCGTACCCAAAGAATAAGCTTCTTTTACTTACTGCCTTTTTTTATATTTCAGTGGTTTTTATTCATTTTAATTTTAAACAGTATAAAACAGAGACAACAAAACACGCCCACGCAGGAGCTATCAATTGCACCGATTAAAAAAAAAAGCATAATAGAGAAAACAGTGCGCTAACTCCAACAAGGCAAAAGGTACGCCCACGCAGGGGCTATCAATGGCACATAAGTTACAATAACATTAATGTAACTCTGAATATAACAACTAAAGGCAGCTGTCCACTGTAACACCAAAAACAAACAGAAAAAGAGAGGAAAAAAAAAAAAAAAAAGAAGCGGGGGTCCAAGAGCGCCAATACCGAACACCAATGCCAAACTCCATTACATCCCCATACTAGCTGGGGGGAGCGTGGGAAAGGGATATTGCAACCACGGCTCCATATTTTCAAAAATTTACGTTGGGAGTCATTGCATATACTCGACATCTGTTCGTTGAGCATCATAGTGGTCATACGATCCCGCACCCCTGAAGAAGGACAAACGGACTCTTCCAGGCCTGAGAAATTGTTCTAGTGGCCGATAAAAACAAATAGGAAGCCAACTTCTGCTGATGAGCCAAGAGGCCCGGTATTGGGCAATGAAGCAAAGCATACCGAGCATCCTGTATGGAGAGATGGAACAAAGTGAAAAGGAGGCCAAACACACAAGACCAAAAACAAGCCAGTCTCGGGCATGACCACCAGATATGCAATACATCGCACGTTGGCCACAACCCCGAAAACATCGATCACTACAGGCAAGGTTAGCCTGGGCCAAACAAGCCGGAATCCAATACCAACAAAACAATACCTTATAGGCTGCCTCCAGCATAGTCATATTGAATGAGCATTTAGCTATGAGTGACCAGGCCTTATTACAGTCCTCCGGATCCACAGCCACTCCCAGGTCGCGCTCCCACTGAACAACATATGAAACAGAAGTATACGACGAGCGTCTGTTCAGAGCTGCATAAAGAAGGGAGATAAGGCCCGGGGCGCCTGGACGCTGCTGGCAAAGCTGTTCAAAGGCAGATTCCTGGTATGGGAAAGCAGAAGTGCCCCGCAGCGAGAGCAGCCAGTGCCGCAATTGAAGGTATCGAAAAAATTCCGCCGGGGGGGAACATCCCGGGACTCCCGAAGAAAATTCCAGGTGGGGAAGGACCGAAAAATTAAAAAGTGTCGCACCTGCGAAAAACCATTAGCCACCCACCAAGAAAACGCCCTTGGGTGATCTAAACCCGGTGGGAAAAGAGGGTTGTTAATAATTGGGAGCAAAGGCAGAAAGGGTGACATCAGGCCAATGGAGTAACGTACCGAGTCCCAGACTTGTAAGCCATGGAGCAACATCGGACTCAGCGCCATAGGGCGCAGGGCAGGGGAAGCCATAGAAGCGTCGACGGTGCGATAGGGGCACAATTAGGTAGTTCCAGCAGGACCCAGAGAGGAACGTCAGAGGAAGCGTGCAACATAGACAGCGGGGCAGTCTGCCTTGCCTGATAATACTTAGTTACATTAGGCACCCCAAGACCACCCTGGAGTCTATGAGCAAAGAGCGTATTTCTGGAGACTCTGGGGTGCTTATTGGCCAAGATAAAACGCATAAACTTCGCCTGAAGCAACCGAAGAAAATGAGGGGGAACCCGCACTGGGAGGGTGCGAAAATAATATAACAATTTCGGGCAGCATGGTCATTTTCACCGAATGAACCTGTCCTATCCAAGACCGGTGCGGAAATTGCCAGGAATGCATAGAGAAGATAGAGAGCTAAGCAATGGATAATAATTTGCAGCAAAGAGGGAGTCATAGGTGGGGGTCAAGCAAATGCCTAAGTATTCAAGAGAAGAGGAAGCCCACCTGTAAGGGAAGTGGGATTGTAGGCGCGAAACCAAATCTGAAACCAAAGTAATATTGAGAGCGACAGTCTTATCCAAGTTAATACGGAGACCCGAAATCAAGGAGAAGCGCTCAAGAACCGTTGCAAATTAGGAAGCGTCAGAGAATTAGTAATAGTCAAGAGGGCATCGTCCGCAAAAAGGTTCAGCTTAAACTCCTGTCCCGCGTATGGAAACCCCCGATACATTGCAATCGGTCCGGAGCGCTAAAGCCATCGGCTCAAGCACCAGGACAAAGAGCTCCGGGGACAGGGGGGAGCCCTGTCTCGTCCCTCGCCCAATAGGAAAGGGATCCGAGAAATACCCAGCGTATTTAACGGAGGCCGAAGGAGAAGAATACAAGGCTTGAATCCAAGAAAGAATAGAATCCCCAAAACCCCAATGAGACAGCACAAACCGCAGAAATTCCCAGGATAGAGAATCAAAGGCTTTTGATATGTCTAAGGACAGTAAGAATCCCAGGATTTTCCGTTGTTGCAGAAAATGTATAAGATGGACCACCTTACGAGCGTTATCACCCGCCTTCCTCCCAGGGACGAACCCTACTTGGTCCCTGTGGACCAGGCTGCGCAAATATTTACTGATGCGAAAACTAAGGATCTTGCCCAATATCTTCAGGTCTTCATTAAGAAGAGAAATGGGCCGGAAGGCTTGCAGTTCCTGTACATCATCGGTCGTCTTAGGAATCATAGAGATATGCACTCTAAGCGCGTCTGGAGAGGGCAAGGAGCCCCGTCGTAACTCATTGAAATAGTCAGCCAAAAAAGGCGACAACAGGGCCGAGAATTTCTTATATTAGAGACTGGAGAAGCCGTTGGGACCTGGGGCCGCAGTGGACCGTAAAGATTTGATAGCTTGGAGCACTTCCGGTACGGTAACACCAGCGTTGAGGGCCACCTGTGCTGCCTCGGATAATCCAGGAAGATGGAGATCTTGAAAGAATGCACTTACTGCCTTTTTGATCTGTTAAATATAACTCTTAATACATTTTGTTATATCTAAATATTGTGCGAAAAACTTGCAGCTGTCATAATTTTATTCTCTATGGCCTCTGCTTTTAGAAAGTATTGGGGTTTCTAGGTAATTTTCTAGAATAAGATACTGACTTTAAAGTGTGTGGGAAAAATTTAAAATTTGCTCTGGATAAAGTGGTTAAAGCAAACCTCTTGATTTACCCTGCATAGGCAAAGAAAAGGTTAACTTGAAGGTAGGAATTATTAGAAATTTCTCCATAAAGATTATGAATTCATCATGGGATTTTTATGTGTTACTATTGCTGAACTTCTGAGAATCTGAAGCAGAGAATGAAGTCTTAAGTGCCCCGGTCACACCGGTGCGATTTGCGAATTGATATCGCATCTAGTGACTGAATGTCAGTGTCTCAACGTGTGATTTGCTGCAATTGCAACACAATTTCTAAAGTAGTTCTTGCATTATTTTTTCTGTAGTCTTGTTGCGATTTCACATTCATAGAATATAATGGAAATAGCACTGCAAATTGCAAAAAATCATTGAAAATCTTCACAAGTAGCAATAAAATCTTCTGAAATTGCACACAAATCGTGATTTTAAATCGCAGCATTGTGACGGGTGACTAATAGTTTTTGATATCTGTATACCTAAACATGGGGTTTAATGTGTTTAGCTCATTGTTGACAGAAAATAAGTAGATTTACATGAGACATGGATCCTTTTTATGTTCTGTTTGTTCATAGGGCACATTCATGGAGTGCCAACCAGAAACCAGCATTTCCCACCGCTTCCACAAAGCTTGTGCCACTCAAGTCAACAATGCCAGCTACTGCCCACACTGTGGCGAGGACGTCTCGAAGGCCATAGAGGTTACCATTGCAAAAGCTGATACCACCTCAACAGTGTCCACTATAGCCTGCGAGCCAGAAAAAGAGGTCCCTGCTGAGGGACAAGCTGACACGACAACAGAGAGGTGATCTTTGTTTTAGGCAGCCTTGAAAAAAAAAAAACTTTTTTGGTTTGTCATTGTTTTGGGATAGATAAGTGCATGTGTGTGTATGTATGTATGTATGTATAGACATGGCAATAGTTTATTTTTTTTATAAATGACTAAAATGGAAAGCAAATGAACAGAAGAGAGATCCAAATCAAATCAATATTTGGTGCGACCACCCTTTGTTTACAAAACTGCATTAATTCTTCTAAATATACTTGCACACAGCTTTTGAAGGAACTTGGCATGTAGGTTGTTCCAAGAAGAACTAACCTCAGATCTTCTGTGGATGTAGGCTGCCTCAAATCCTTCTGTTTCTTCATGTCTTCCCAGACAGACTTGATGTTGAGATCAGGGCTCTGCGGCGGCCAAATCATCACTTCCAGGACTCCTTTGTTCTTTACACTGGAGATGGTCCTAATGACATTGGCTGCATGTTTAGTGTTGTTGCCCTGCTGCAGAATAAATTTGGGGCCAGTCAGTCACACGTTTCCCTGATGGTATGGCATGATGGATAAGTATCTGCCTGTATTTCTCTGTATTGAGGACACTGTTGATCCTGACCAAATGGTCAACTCCGTTTGAAGAAATGCAGCCCCAAACATCCATGGAACCTCCATCATACTTCACTATTGCCTGCAGACACTCATTATTGTACCGCTCTGCAGCCCTTTGTGAACAACCTGCCTCCTGCTACAGCCAAATATTTCAAAATTTTAATTCATCGGTCTAGAGCACCTGCTGCCATTTTTCTGCACCCCAGTTTCACATAGGATGTGTAAACAAGGCTAAGTGATTCAACTATGCATGAAAACATAGGAAATGGGGTGCAGAAAAATGGCAGCAGGTGCTCTGGACTGATGAGTCAAAATTTGAAATATTTGGCTGTAGCAGAAAGCAGTTTGTTCTCGAGGAGCTGGAGTGAGGTACAATAATGAGTGTCTGCAGGCAGCAGTGAAGCATGGTTGGAGGTTCTCTGCAAGTTTGGGACTGCATTTCTGTAAATGGAGTTGGAGATTTGGTCAGAATCCATGGTGTCCTCATTTCTGAGAAATACTGCGAGAAGCATATTCATCATGGAGGCATGTGATTGAACCAATTTTATTCTGGCAAGTATTCTATATCACCAACAACTAGTATCCTCCTTTAAAACTCAATTCTCATTAGTGGGCCCTAAAAAGAGCTCTTCACTGCAGCACTGGATCCTTTCCTTCAGCTGTAATGACCTCCTGGAACCATCTGGTCTTGTCTCCCTTCTGGTTCTGTTGTCTTTACTAAAGAGCAGAGCACTCTGGTTAAAGTGCTCAGATGCAAACACTGTGTTCTAAGAGTGCCTGGCCTGCTTGGACTTTGAGGGAAGACATCTCTTTGAACATACCCAAGACATTATATCACTAGAGGGCAGAGCATTTGCTTGCCTTAGCCTAAACACTTTAAAGGAAGGTCAGCTACGTCTTCTCCCTCTCCTTCACTCCTGAATAGGCACAACTAAGCCACCTGCAAGGCCAAAGGTGAGAAACCTGTTAAGACTTCAGCTCCAGGCTCCAAGTGGGGAAACATTTTGCTAATCATCACTGGTTCTTCGGTAGTTTGCCCTTCAGACATTCAGGTGCAAGAACCACTCAGGTTTACAGAATGATCTTCGGCCACCAGTGTTGTCCTCCGCTGCCCACCCTCTGCTATCCTGTTACCATAAATATAAGACCTACCACTGTTTCCTTTGTGCCTTCTGGATGTAAAGATTAGGGAGGAGGGATGAGGGTGAACTTCCACTCCAATCGCCCAGGCGATTCCAGCGGAAGTGGGAACCGAGTGCCTGTCACAAACCGGTACCCACCCCCCCCCCCCCCCAAAAAAAAAAAATGTGTTTTCATTATTTGGGGGTGGGGAGGGGGAAGAGTATCAGTAAAGCTTATATTTTCCAGTCAAGTTATGATTAAAACCAATAGGGTACTTCATTGGAGGGGTTCACAACAGGTTTACCCTCATGTTCTATTTCCATGGTCAGGGAGTTATCGGTCTTTAAACTGTGGCAGGGAAAGTCACATGTCAAGGTGTCACTGTCTCTGAGACACCTATTCTTCTCCGTTCTGTTCTCAGACTACTTCAGTCCTTCTCTGTTGTGGATCATGTTTCTGAGCATACTAAATTGTCTGCCTCTATGGATCAAGTAGTTCCTAGCCTGGAAATCTGTCTTCCAGTCATGAGCCTGGCATGGACTTCTATTCCCAACTTTGGAACGATCTTGTCATTGTGGGAAAACATTTTGTCTCCTGCACTGCCTTCTGCACTTCCAAAACAGGTGGTTTCCTCTACATTGTGGGATCATTCACTGGTCTGGTCTGCTGCTATGGACACCATTGTATATCTTTACCACCTAGGAGGAACAGTTGTTCTTGTTATGACAAGAGGAAGTTTGGATCCTGACTGGAATAAAACCTTAGGTTTCAGTCCCGTTTGCTCTTCCAGTGTGATCTTCTGGAGTCTAGTTTTTTTCCAACTGGCTGCTTTTGGATATGGAGGAGCAGTCCATTTTCCAAGATGCATTTCAAATTCTGTGGTGCAAGTGGAGGTCATCAGAGGAGGGGCAGCTGATGCCCTGGGCAATCTGCACACGTTTTGGTTTCTTGATGCTGGAATCCTCTGACAGTAGCAGGAAATGCTTTATTGGCTCTGTGGATCCATTCAACTGGTCTAGGCCTCCCCTTCTTGTATACTTTGCACACCTGAGAGCAAGGTCTTTATGGTAAGCTTCCTTGTTTTAAAATTACCCAGGGAAATGTTTTTTGCTGTCTTGAGAAGACTTTTCTGGGTTGTTCCAAGCATATTTAGTCCGGACTCTGCAAGCCTTTAGGAAAGAGGAGTAATTTTCAAGCAAGTCCTCTCTTATGGCTTGCCCTCCACGGTGCCACCTTTTTTCTCTCTTACTGATAAGTGGGAGTTCATTTTTGATCCTTGGCTCTGTCAGATGTGTTTGTGGTGAGAAGATCAGCCTTCTATTCCTTGCTTAATCATTGTACAGGAAGCTCTGGTGTATCTTACTTGGTTTGTTATGCTTACTCAGTGAGACTGAAACTTGGTATTCGAGTTTGTTCAGGAACCTCCAGTACTCTTCTTGGAGCGTCTTCTACCCAAACCATCCTTCCAGTTCTTGCTGGGCAGTCTGCACTTTGGCATCGTGGATGTCTGCAGTGGCTGTCTTTTCAGACATACACATGCTCCTTTCTTCTGTTGGATCTAATGGGATCAGGTGATTTGCAGTTTAGAGCCTTTTCTAGTCTAGGACAGCTCAGGTTTCCTTTTACTGTACATTGGTCATAGTTTCTTCTGTCTAGTCCAAGTTCTTGGAGACAAGTTCCTTCTAGTTATTGAACATGCTTAAGCTGTGAACCCTTCCCTGCTGGGAATTATTTTTCCACCCTTCTGGTTGATTTGACTATTACCATGTTATGGTCTGTGCTTCGGGGGGTTTGCCTCTCATGTCGTGTCATACCCCACTAGTCGAGAGTATTCTTTGGTCTTCTGGAATCAGGCTTAGTGTGACATGCTAACTAAGCACAGAATTCCCCAGTTTTTTGTTAATATTGAGCCTGTTAGTGTTGTCTGCAGCCTATCCCTGAGTTGGACTGTTTTTGGATATCCCTACAGCATAGGACTTCCTATGTCCCTTAATGGACAACAGGCAGTAGGATTTTTGCACTCCTTGTAACATCCTGTTTTTGTTGTCTGTTGATGGAAACACCTCTGTTTTTATGATCATACTCTTGGTACTCCTTGCTATAAATCTTAGGAATTCTAGTAGGAGTTATTATTCTCAGCTGCACATATTTATTTGCCAGTGTCCAGTCCTTCTGTAGATAACAGTATAACCAATATATGACTCTGTGTAGCTTAGTGGTCTCCCAAGAAAAAGAATTTGTTGATTTAAAAATATGCTATTTTTCTTTTTATATGGAGCACCTCATAAGTATACCAATGGCAGGTGGTTTAGGTGGAAGGATGTCTATTAGCATATGTTTCTTACAGATATACCTGTAAATGTACTCTGTGGGTAAGCATATGGCTTAGAAATATAAATTGACATGGGAGCAACCATATTTTCTTATACATATGCAGACTGTGCTTCCTTCTCAGTACTGCTGGACAGTGATTTGTCCCCTCCTTTTTTTCTGTAGTAATTTTCAGGGGTAATTGCATCAGTGCGCTCAGGGGAACAGAAGATGGCCATATCTCTGTGACTAATTTATTTTTTCTCAGCTGTCAGTTAGCATGCCTACTGACTATACTGTTTGATATTGTGGTAACCACTAGAAGAGTAATCAAACTAAATTAAATGCTACTCCAAAAATGAAACAAACATTAAAATAGAAAACGTCTCATGAAAAATGAATTTCAGATAAGCAGTGTATTTACTGAAGAATACAACATGGCTTGCTTATAAAGAGCTACATGGGTGTGTGTAATACACACACACACACACACACACACACACCTACACCTACACCTACACCTACACCTTTCCTAATATGGCCAAATTTCAGCCAGTCCCTGATGAACCAGCTGAAATTTGCTCTGTAGTTGGTCCTGTTGACACCCTTCGGCCTGTCATCCTTCAAAATTGGAGTCAGGCAGAAAATTGCCAGCAAACAGTGCCTGCATCCAGTCATTTGCCATGGGAGATTTGTCTGCCTATACTGTCTAGTTGGAGGAATTGGTTATATTGTTTTTGTTCAGCCCATGCTTTGAAAAAAAATAATCATTGTATGGGCCAGCTTTAGTGTCCCATCTGTTAGAAGCCCTGCACAAGTCTGACCTTGTCTCTAATATGGTTTTTTATGTTTCGCTAGTGATGTTTCAGCAGAGAAAGTTGTGGACGAGTCGAAGGCAGAAGCACCACCACTTCAGACCTGTGAGACTGCTGAACCACCTAACACAGGGAAATCGCCAATCCTGTCTCAGGGACATGTGAAAGAGACTCTGGAAACTGCTCTACTTGCTTTGGACTCAGAAAAGTGAGTTGGCTCCTAGTGGGTTGTCAGCAGATTGTGATAGACTACTTTAATCCTTGTTCATAAATTAAAGTACCTTCCATTTTTGTAAATTCTTTACCCAATGGGGTCACTCTCTGTACTTTAGTAGCTACTCTTCTTTGCGCTTCATTCAGACAGGCATTGACACCTGTTCTGTGTGGAAGCCACATTTTTTATTGTGCCTGCATCTGCCTGGGGCTGCATGCAGGCCACCTGTAGGGGTGGATGCAGATGCATCAACTGCATGTGTCAACTAACGCACAGACACAGCTGCATGTCAAAATTTGAAATGCATGCAGGAGCGGGTGCATGGATCTGTAGGCGGGCAGTGTGAGTTTGCATCCGTCTAAATGTCTGCCTGAATGAAGCCTTACTAAAACATGCAGTTAATCTTTAAACCGCACAAACATTCCTTTCCAGCACTTTCCAATAAACTCTTCATTCTCCAATTTTATGTGAGGTAAGATGTCCGCTGTCTTTGATATTCTGTTTTCTTTATTGTACATCACAGGACACAGAACCTCTTCATTAATCTTTATGAATAGGGTTATGTGCCACCTACAGGTGATTGGACACTGCCTAAAAAAAAAGTCTCAGTGCCCCTGCCCTTCCTGAGGCCACCCGTGTCACACATGCGGTGCAGTCTGATGATGTCACAAGAGGGGCCTGGTCTTATGGTGGCAGCCATATTGAGCTCCTCAGAATATCCTTGGAAATAGCTTGACAGACATTTGGAGCAGCAGAAACACTATCGGCATTGCAGGAGCACCAGCAGGCAGCTGGTCATTTATCTCTGCTTGGAACACTGCTCTGCATCGGCAGGATGCAGGAAATTTCCTTGTCCAGGGCCATATGAGCACACTTTGGGGTGGTATTAGCACTTGATGGTTTAGTGGGAGCCATCTCTGAGGGTAACTAGTGCAGTAGCACAGTGCTGTCTTGACTGGCTGGGATTGTTATTTTTAGTGAGGGGTCACATTTTCAAGAGTCAGCAAACCATGTGGCTCTTAGATGGCAGCGAGGAGGGAATATCTTTGTCAGGTAGGGAAGAAACTAGTGCCGTGTGCCATGTCCCCTGCGGCTCTGACTCCTTTCTCTTATTGGGTACTTCCGGTGCATTTTCTTCAGTTCCTGTGTGACAAAGGAGGATTTGCCTGCATTGGCAAGGATGCAACAACAGCTTTCCGCTTCTCCCCCTTTTCCTCCCTACTAACAGAGGAGCAACTTTTGGAAGATGATGCAGAAGCAGACAACTTTATAACTGAAGGGAGGCGGAAGACTCCACTTCTGCACAGTCTGCACCTGAGGAACCCCAGAGTTAAAAGGCTTTCATGCATTTTCTCGCAGAAGTGATGCACACTAATTTGAAGTTGCCATTACCTATATCCCCCCTTGGATCATGGCGGCCGCCACAAGATACTCACCTTAAAGTGATTGTAAACCCTCGCCTTGTAACACCACAACCCACGCAGCACGCAGTTGCAGCTTGCTAGTGTGGGGTTATAGGGGTTACAGCAGGTGGTGAGGAGTCAATACAGCTCCTCCACACTGCCTGCTTTAACTGCTTGGTGTCTGTACTCCACAAGGTTGCAGAGTGATTGGAGAGTGGCCCCATTCACTTGAATAGGTCAAGTTTAATGAGCGCTACACCTGCCAAACGTGACAGGGTGTATAATTCCTGCTGCAGCCATGACATGTACACACCTGGCAACTGCAGCTAAAGGGGGTGTGGTTGGGGTGGTAAAAAGAGGGCTAAACTATGGTGTTTTACCGCCCTCCCCAAACCACAACAAGCCCTTCCTGTACCGAGCCCCCTATCATAGTTGCTTTTAAGGCAACCCCTGGATGAGAAGAGAGAAGGACCCCTGGGGTGAGGGTAGAGAGGGGCCATTCTAGCATGTCCCATGTATTGTGTTCTCCCCCCTCTGTACAACAACCTGCAGACAGTTTTCAGAGCAGAGAACAACCCTCCAAAGTAGCTCAGTCTGGCTTGAAACTAGCCAAACTAGCTTCCCTGGGGTGATGGTAGGTCCGCCCACAGCTCCTGGCCCACAGTTAACCATCCACTCCCTGGCCAGCTTGTGCTACACTGCACTCTGCCTTGTTCAGGCAGGGATAGAGAGGGGCGGAGTGCAGTTAATATCACTCCTCCTGATACTGCCGGAACTAAAGAAGAAGCAGAAGCTGATTCACCGCCCACCCTCTCGCTGGCACCTCCGCCACAAATAAATAGTCCCACTGCTTCCATACGACTTATGGTCAGCAAGCCGAGGGCACCATCTACCAGTTACCTAGTGGGGATCGACTAGTAGCTCGCATTTGACGGGTTGTGGACCCCCGTTGTAAGCAATAAGGTGGCTACTCTCAAAAAGCTAAGAAATCCCTTGATTTGCCTCTGCATTAAGGTCTTGGGAAAAGTGGTTGCCTCATTGGAGGCAGTTCCCCTTGCCCAGCTTCATTCCATGCCTCTGCTGTGGAATGTTTTGATGACGTGGAACAGGCAGACGTATTTGTGGACTCTTTAATGTTCTCATGGCCCAGCTCTCTCCGATCTCTGGACTGGTGGATTTCTTTGCGGCTGCTGGAGACGAGAAAAGTCCTCTCTTCCCCTTTTTTGGAAGGTGCTGATGTCAGACAGCAGCTTAACTGGTTTGGATGGATGGGAGTTCTGGATCACATTTTGGTGCAGGGAACTTGGTCTCCACAGGAGAGGCCATTGCCCATAAGTGTTCTGGAACTGAGAGCAATTTACCTGGCTCTTTGGTCAATGCAGCTAAGAGGTCTCCCTTTAAATCATCAGTTATATAAAGCCATGGTCGTAGCATACATAAATCTTTAAGGAGCCACTAGAAGTTGAGCAGCCCAGGAGGAAGTGGATCTTATCCTGTCTTGGGTGGGGCTTCATGTTTCCAAGCTGTCCACAGTTCACATTCCAGGCGTGGAAAACTGGCAGGTGGACTTCTCAGCTGTGAGCAGTTGTCACCGGGAGAGTTGGTTCTTCACTCTGAGGTGTTTGAGGAGATCTGTCGATTTGTGGGGCACACCAGATGTGGACCTTCTGGTATCCAGGTTCAAAGCAAAACTGGACAAGTTCGTCCTTGGGACCAGGAATCCAAAAGTGTTTGCAGTGGATGCTCATTTGACACCATGGGTCCAGTTTTCCTGAATTATGCCCTTCACCCGCTACAGAATCTGTAAACTGGTGATTCTGATTTCTCCAGCTTGGCCCAGGGGAACGTGGTACTTTGACCTTGTGATCATGTCAGTGGACAGTCCTTGGTTCATTTTGGATTGTCCTGTTTAATGTCATGGCAATTGAAGCCAGAGTCTTGAGAAAAAGGGCAGTCTGATTCTGTTGCGCTATGTTTTTAAAAGCCATGAAGGCTACTTCAAGGTAGATTTACCACAGGACCTGGAAATCTTATGTTGCTTGGTGTGAGTCTAGGGATTTTCATCCTCACAAGTATTCTGTGGGCTGTATCTTGGTTTCCCCAAAAAGAGACCCTCTCCCCCGAAAGAGACCCCCCACCTCGAAAGAGACCCCACCATGGCCCTGTGCAATATGAGGTGCAACGGTTATGCCAGGAAAAAGAGAACTCAAAAGGCCAAATGGCTATTTAAACCACAATGGGCATAGTGATATCACTCAAAAATCTCTCTCCTCGAGACAGACACCAGCCAAAACAGCGAGCACAGAACACTATTACAGCTAAACAAGATGGACCCCTCACCTGAAAGACTACAAAAGAAATTCCTAAATTATACAAACAATCATATACCTGCTAGGAAAACAGCCTAGATAGTCTCCAAACTGTATGGAAGTTCCACAAGTGCAGACCCATAATAATAAATGTGCATGACTGAATACTGAGTAGGATAAGGCCAACAATATGAATGTAATTCAGCACTATAGTGCCTTCAGGTACATGAACACTCATACAAAAGAGGGCTGCAGCTAACAAGTATAATCCAAGTAGATAAGCTGGTATGGGCAGGGTCTCATGTATGAGTAGTGTCTAACTCTCAGTTGGATGCTGGCCAAGGTGCTGATTTTTCAACAGAGCAAGCTGTCCTACAAATGTAGGTGTTAGAGAGTTGAGATAAACCATTTGACACTGATACGGTGCTTACAATGGTTTGCATTTATTTATATAAAACGCAGCCACCATATCTACTGATTGTTAAACTGCAATATATTACCTGTTTGGTTTTAGGTTAAATGCCGCTTTAATGAAGGGGGCTCTGTGTCCCATGATGTACTTCAAGAAATGGATTTTACAGATAAGCCAAAACATTTTTTGTCTCATTTCATACCCCCTGCCACTTTCCTTCCATTTATATACTGGCATAAACTATGATATTTATATTTCTTTGTTAGGACATTGTTTGGAGTCAGATCTCTACTGCATTTAGATACAATTCTATAAACCTTTAAATATTTTCATTTGTATATCAGGGAGAGTGCAATGTTAAGATTCCCCATCACGAAAGGCAATTGCATTACCAATCTCGTACATGTGGACACATGGGTAGATATACAGTCAGATGCCATAAAATGGAATCCAAGAACTGATGCTGCAAGGCAGTATTGCTAACCACGCATCGCACTATTTGACTTGGCTGGTTCCTTGTCCTGATTCATTGAGGCTTTGCATGGCTGGGCCTCTGGTATCCAGGTATTACTGCTCAAGCAGAAGCACACAGCAGGTGACTGCTGCTTGAACATAAATGCACACTGTGTTCAGTTTGTGCATTTCATCAGCCACTGTAACAAATCGCTGACTGTTCAGCGGGCACTAGTTGTTTCAGACAAGCTCCACTGAATCGTCTCTCCTCTGCTAGTACTTGGCTCTCTCACTCCACATGGTTTTCTGAGCCTCAGGCTAACTTTTGGAGTAGAGGAATTATTATAATTCTTGGTTATGTGAGATCTTGGTTATGATTTTAAACTGGAAAACAGATTAACAATATAATTAAACAAC